ATTTATTTTAATGTAGGCCTGTGTATTATTTTTAATTCTCCTTATAGGAGTTTTTTGTTTCTTATTAGAGGTTAACAGTTTTATATAATGTAATAAATATCCTAATAAATGCAATTTTTTTTTGTTTTTGTCTGATATAACAATAAATACAACTTTATTAGCTATCAAGCTATGAAATATGTTTTGCGGCTCCAGACAATTAATTTTTTTGGAAAAAGGAGCAAAATGGCTCTTTTGGTCAAAAAGGTTGCAGACCCCTGCCCTAGGGGCTGAATCGTCATGTTAATCGTTGCCTAAAACAGTGTGTCCTGAGTCTCTTCTAGGTAATCAAACATCCTGTTGCATACACAGCTACATAAGGGGCTTTGTTATCATGTGCTACTCGGATATTAGAAGAGTACATTCAGTATTTTCCCAACATGTTCCCAGTGTAAAGCAACGTCAAGGCACAGAAAAGCACCCAGCCCTACGTCATACAAACTTTAATCTATTCTGTTGGTCCTCATGTACAAGATGCTGCTTCCACTAAACAAGTTGTATTCTTGTGACAGTCCCTCGGCTGACCTGACAATAGAGTTTTTGAAAAGTCTTCGTCAGGTTTTATAATCCCTTACTTTAGAACTTTGGAATGTTGTTCAATAATGCATGTGTGTGTGATAACACACATTATATGAACAGATGTTTGTGCAATAGTAAGATGATATCTTAAACAACTGTTGCCAAATAATAAACCACATGTGTAGAGTAAGTCCAGTTCATTTGAGTTAAGTCAGACGTAGGTATTCCAGCCCTGACCCCATTCACTTTCCATCACAGACACAAAGACGTGTAGCACATCCTGCTTAGAAACCATGTGTTTGTTTGTTAGTATGTATAGGAATCCATGCAACCTGCTCCAACCACAACCTCAATTACCTGCCAAGCACCAGTGGTACATGAAATGATAGAGGAAACACTGACAGAGGATGAATTTCCCAACCAAGTTCAACCCCTTCCCTGTAATGCACTCGACATGAAGACATTTCCCTTTACTTACCTTTATCGTTAAACAAACCTGGATGTCTTTGAGCGATGGGAAAATAAAACCAAACTGAGTATTTTTTGCTGACACTCTTGAAACATGTGTATCTCGGTTTTATGCATGCATTTGTTTAGTCCGGACGTCTATTGTGTTTCAATTATTTCTGTTTGGTATGAAAGTCTGTTAGTAGACTCTAAAAGCGTGCCTGATCTGTGTACAGTAAGAGAAATAAGATGGTACTTTATTGATCCCAATTTGGGAATTCTTGTTGTTGCAGCAGCATAAAAGACAAGGCAGTTTACAATAAACAAGAAAAGAAAATAGAAAATATACATGTTGAATTTGACAAGATATTATACAAATATATATATACATAAATATATGACGTATGGAATATTAATATTAAATATTGAACAGATTATACATGTGTAAACAATATAATCTCTCACAAAAAACACAACAACAGGTCTTCGTTCTTGCAAAACGCCTCTTTGCTCTACGGCTGTCTGACTGAAGTGTATGATCAAGCATCCTCCGGTTGGATGTGCAAAAACAATGTCAAACAAATGTATTAGCCCAAAAACATGGATAAAAGGCAAGGGGCGACGCTAGTCTGTTTCATGTTTCTAGTCTGTGCTGATATGTTCTCATGTGAAACATTTTTTTTAAAGAAAGTTTTCTGATGATTAGCTGGAAGGAGACTCTTACCGTTGCCCTGTCAGCACCTTTTTATATCAAATGCAAAACTGAAACAATTGCATGAAAAGCTATTTTCTGAAGGCCCATAATGCACTTGGCTTTGTGTAAAGGACGTGATTTCCAAATTAGAACAAGCAGTGTGACTGTAACACAATGGGGGGAGGGGGGAGGCGAAGCGTTTTAGAGGTGACATCTGGATTTGTTCTTAGCACCAGATAAAATGGGTTATCCATAGCCTCGTTTCCCCTGGCGACAGCTTTTTTTTACTAAGCTCCAAGGACGGAGCGCTTCCACACTCGGAGGTGGTGACAGTCTTGTCTCTGGGCAATCTTTCGTGTTTGGCAACTCTACACCATACATTACTCTACTCTGTTTTATCTATAACTCTTACTGTCATCCATTATACTGCAGCAAGACTGGGAAGCATTTTCAGACCCAAAGAAGAATATGAAAATGATTGCCATACTGTAGTTAAATACATGTTGTATGTTTTTTGGCATCTGTGTTTCGCCTTTAGACGACTCAAATATAACTCAATCACCACAACATTTAGTATACATGACATGTTTACATATGGATACATTTTTGTTGTTTGAGCACTGTTTGAGGGTATTTCTGGCAGAAATCTGCAGGGTAAGTTCTTTTTTTACTATGTACTGAATGTCTTCTTCCACTTGTCTCTGGATTTGATTTAAAATGGGTTTCATTTTTTCCTAATTGGTCTTGTTTACGCATACTACCTTTTTGATATGCATCAACTATCTTGAACCAGGAAAAAATAAATACATTTGAATTTGACATTACAAATCAAATTGACTCCAAATCCAAGAGTGGTTACACAAAGAAATTGAAACACGCACGCACGCACGCACGCACGCACGCACGCACACACACACACACACACACACACACACACACACACAGACATTCTCTCATTCACCGTCACATTCTTATAAACACAGCCTGAGGATAGAGGTTTTTAAATGTCTGACCATGCTTTGTTTGTCATGTTTGGCCTGATGTCAGACTGACTAGTAAAGGAACCATGGGAACTGCAGAAAAACACATGACCCTCTGTAACCCCCTTACGTCTCTTTGTTTAGGCTTGTTCTTCGATTCTGTGCATATAGATGAAAAGTTATACAATAAAAACACAGAATATGTACTGCATGAATAGTTTGGCTGTAAGATACAGATTTAGCTGATAGCTTTGTCTCTAACGTATGATTCTGATTCAATGTGTTTAGGTCTGAAAACGCAATGAATTAGGGAGTGTAATGGTTTGGACTGTAAATTGTCTAAAGTGGAAAGTATCCATCTCAAGGTCCAAAAGCCTGAGGTGAAACCTTCAAATTGCTTGTGTAGTCCGACCAGCAGTCCAAAACCCAGAGATATTCAATCTTAGATGAGCATGAAAACTAGCACAGATGCAAATTGAAACCAGAGGAATGGTGCTCATAAATCTTCTAATTGGAACACATTTTGTGTTCAATGTACCTTAAACAAAATAGAAGAATATTGGGCGTGCAAAGCCAGATAAAGTTGGAGAACAAAGCTTGGAATACCTTCACTGCAAAGTCAAATCTAGTCCGACTGTATGTATGTATATAATATTATTTTATTATTACATGTTGAATACATTTTTTTTTTCTCATTGTCTTATTGTTCTCATTTATTTGTCATCTCTTATCTTTGTTATTTAGATGAATATATCCCAAAACTATGCCTACTATGTCAGTGTTGTCATTTGCCAAACATTATAAAATTGAATATGTTAGCTAGTATTTTGTTACCTGTTATGGACCCAAATGTTCAGGGTGTGCACATACCTTTTCTGTGACTCAAATCTCACAGGTTTTCCCTGTAATGTCCAAAACTTAACCCTGCATCAAGAAACATGTAAGATAATTATGTTCTGCTTAAAGGTAATGACAGTCTTTTCTGCACTAACCTTGCATTTATTGTTTCTGCCTCTGCAGGGTCATCTCCGACAGCTGACCTTCCTGATGGGCGACCCTGACGCCGCCCAGCGACACTGCAGCCACCACCCACCCCGCTGTGGGGAGACCTCCCGCAAGCCTCCTCGATCCCCACGCACCAACCGCCTGGAGGTGAGGAGAGATGAATGGAAAAGAACAAAAAAAAAGATCAGGGAAATTCATGTCATTAACTCATAGCATTGCTGCTTTGATTTATGTAAACAGCGTGGCTCCAACATGTCACCAAGGTGTTTAAGGTGAAGCCAGATGCCTTTTTGAAGCCTAGACATCCAGACTCCTGCAGTCAATTCTTTGACGCACCAACCTGTTTTTTTACTATGAAGCATGATAAAAAGATCATTAGAGGATTTTTTAAAAACTGCATTGACTCCTGGGGTTTTGATCCAGTCTGATGAATTCAACAACTCTGAATGTTCCGCTGATGATGCTCTGAACTGTCTTTGTTTGTGGTTTCGCCCGCCTGTTTGCACACAGAATATACTGCTGGCCTCAAACGACCTGGAGAACTTGCTGGGGGATCCTGAGGATGAGCCTTTTTTGCACTTTGGAACTGTAAGTAGGATGTTTTTGGTGCCTGCAGTGCTCTTTAAAGTTATGCTTTAATCCTCTGTTCACAAGGTGTTAAAAAGACAAAAGAAAACATGCAGTCGCCTCCTGGTTTCACAGCTGCCTCCCAGGGTTTAAATCAGCGAGTGTGGGCATCTGACCAGTCGTCATGGTGATTAGATCCAGCTGTGTCCAGGCGGGCAGATACAGTCGTACATACCAGCCACAGGCCTGGTTTCACTGGCTTCATTTTTCTTTTCCATCAGTCTTTGTAAAACCACCAGTCCAGCGTCTGTCATTCATTAGCGCTGCGGTGCAGAGACACTCTGCCAGGGGCACCAACCACCCGTCCCACCTCATGGTTCGGGGTGAATGGTCAACTTGGACAGTGTCCTGAACTGTCTGTCCTCTAGTCCATCAGTGTGTCTTTTGACGGTTCTTTGTTGTGGCCTGCAAAAGGGTTCATCAGGCTAAAAGTCTGCTGTGATTGATTGTATCAAGGGCATATTCCTCATGGTTTAAAAAAACAAAAAGCAATAAGGGAATTTGTTGGTTTTGTGGTTTTGACTGTTAAAACCATTGGTAGAAAATAATAAAACAACTAAAAGCAAATAATGCATTTTATCTTAACCACTGTGTAATTGGATGTTTTCGTTGAGTAAATCATTGGGTATGACCAACAGGTCATCTGTGTTTCCTCCTTGCTTCCTCTCTCAATGTTCCAGATCCAGAGTTTTTCTGATTGTAATTATCTACACGAATACCTGCTGTTCGTTGTGGTAATCATTATTGTCTTTTGTAGTTTGTTAGTTTTTTCTTTATTTTCTAATGGGAGTAAGTGGGAGAAATACAGGGACGAAATGTTCTAAGTCTTGAGTCACTGAATAATTGGCAACAATCAACATTTTGATCATCCAAAAATAATTGTAGTGATCCTTAAAGCATAATATTTGCTTGATCCAGCTTTTGTTGAGAGCTATGTTAGAATTAATTAACTGAGACGCACCATAGATGAAATCAGTATTGCACCTTATCACGTCTAGTGAATATTGACGTAAGAAAATATTATTTGCAGTCCTTTTTATTTTGCTCCACTCTCCTGAACCTAATCAGCAACAGCAATGAAGGCAGCAGCAACCTGCATGTGGACTGACAGCAGGTTGCTCTGTCCACAGGAAACACAATGGGGGGGGTGATCTAAGTGTTCAAAGGTCCCATTAAACGGACACTTGAACTTCCATTGGTCTGCATAGTTGGTGCAACAGTGCGTTCTGAGCAATGACATGGTGTTGCAAGAATGGGTGCAACTAAAAGGTCCATGTAATGTGGGCCAGACACTAAAGTGAATTAGACCGGCTGAAACTGGTCCCCCCGACTGATTCTAGCTGCCTTCCTTTGCCTGTGTGTGACATGCAACGAGCTGCCTGTGTGAGGTGTTGGTGTTGGCACAGGCAGCACTGCCAGTCCTCAACAGATACTTCACTCTGTCTATTTTTGGCGAGAACTGCAAGCGTCACCGTCACAGGTGTTTTCTATAACGTCGTGTTTGAACTGCTTACCATGTTTCATCTTGTTCGTTTATCCTTTTCTTTTTAACCCTGACCCTTTTCATTTTGGAATGATGTGATTTATTACAATCACTGCAATAAACAAAATATGTTATATTAAATTAGGGGTGCACCGAATGGGAAATTCTTGGCCGAAACCGATACCGAAAATAGGAAACAGTTGGCCGAAAACCGAATGCCGAAAGGCCGAAAATGATTAATAGAAATATATATATATATAATGTATACATTTTTTACCAATGTTGTTCAGCTGCCTGATTATGGAAAAATAAATGATTATGGCAAAACTTAACTTAAATAATAATCACTATTATGGGTCCATAAAACATTTATTCAGCACTTTTGAATGCATACAGTACATTAATTCCAAGTCAAGTGCATTTTTTTTTCTCTGTAGGATAACTACAACAAAGTGCATTCAGAACAAAGCCAAGGTGCTTTAAAACTGCATAAACATCTAGGCCAGTAGGCCTACAACAAAATAGTGTAAATAAAGACTGTAACAGCCAGGCCTTCAACAACAACAAATGCACCTATAAGTGCATTCATACAAATGTGCAAACTGGATAAATCCACATGAATGTAACTATTTACAAATGAAATTACAATTGAATTTCAATAATCTGTAAATAAGGCTGTCTGTCCTCATAAGCAAAGTAGTAAACATTGTATAAAGATACATAAAGTGAAAACTGGATACAAAATCCACAATCAATTACAAATTAAATTACAATTTCACGAATCTGCAAATAAGGTGGTCTGTCCTCATGAGCAATGTAAACAACATTGTATCATTTAGATACCGAAAGTACAATATATTGAACACTGTGCTGCTGTCATTTCCCCCTAATGATAACCTGAGATGGTGAATTATAACTCACAATGAAAATTGTTCAGGAAAGTGGGTATAGAGTAGACATGTAGAACTAGATAAGCCAGCCTTGTCTACTTATTAAGGAAAAGTGGGAGGTTATTTTTAATGAACATTAGCTTCTCTGCTTTACCAGCCATAAATCTGTTCCTCTTCTCATCAAGCACATGAGAGGCAGCGCTGAACAGTCTCTCGCTGTCAGTGCTTGTGATTTGATCTTACTCCGCATATTTGTCCGGGTGTTTTGATTACAAGTGGTGGAGTAATCCCGAAGTGGTGAAAGTCTTTGCAGTTACACCCCCTCGAGAAATGTCAGCTGAACACATTCTACAAATCGCAATCCGCGCCTCTTTCTCTGATATTTTTAAATATCTCCAAGCTGCAGACATGTTGGCTGTGAGCCAGCCGCGAGCATGGTCGCGCGCCGTGCTTGTCGCCGCGTTTTGATTACGTCATCACAACAACACGTTAGCTTACCAACGTAACCCTGTTCTCTGACATTCGGTGATATTTTTTCGGTGCTAGAACCCTTTCGGCCGAAAGCCGAAAGGGCCTTTTTAACCATTTTCGGCCGATAATTTTCGGCGGCCGAATATTCGGTGCATCCCTATATTAAATTATGGTCGCCCACCCTTACTAGAAATACATACGGTTGTTTACACTGGCACGTACAGAATAAACCTTGTTTCTATAATCTACACATGTTTGAAATGGAAACAAAGGCATCAACTCTGCACTTGGAAACAAAGAAAAAGCAAATCAGGTTTTAATTTCCATCTTCAAAACTCCTGAAATATTGAGTGAGGTTCTGGTTCTCTTCATAGTTACAGTAGTGTCCTGGCAGAACAGTATACCATGCCGTGCCAGCTGCAACAGGCTCACAGTTCCTCCATCAGGATGACATTGGGATGCCTTACTGATGATGAAGACCACAAAGCCCTCTCCTGCTGTTTTAAGTTGTGGAGGATGTTTGCTGGAACAAGCTGCACCAGATCCATCTTAATAGGGACATCTTATTCAGCTGCATCCCTTTCTCATTATGAGTTCTCTATTCATCTGTTTTTATTTTTCTGTGTTTTATTGTGTCTGTATCTGTCTCCTCTGGCTGTGGTTGTTCAGTCCACGCCACTGTCTCTGTGTGTTTCCCCCTGCCTTGTTGATACCTGACCTTATGCTAAGCTAAGTAGTTGGTGGATCCAGTGACATATTTACTGTACAGACATAGTACAGTAGTTGAATCAATCTTTATGTATGAAGCGATTGCTGCCTTGAAGTGGGTTCATTTTGACCGTTTTTACAATAAGAGACGTGAGGTGGAAGTTGAATTTTTCTGAAAACCTTGAAATTTTTACTGATGTTTTAAGAAACGGTGGAGGCCATGAAAGAACATTTATATGTGAATAGAAAGTTCATATATTGCAAGTAAAGTCGTTAAGAGTTTTTAATTTTTTTAGACGAATCTCAGTCTGAGAAAAATGTTGGTATTCCCCATTCCAACCGCCTTAGCTTTTCTCTAACCCTAACCCTTACCATTTGCCTTTCCATTTTGCATTACAGTACATTGCATTTAGCTGACGCTTTTATCCAAAGCGACTTACAATAAGTACATTCGACCAGGAAGATACAACCTTGAAGAAAACAGAATCATATACAGTAAGTACATCAGGTTAATGGAGCCAAACATTTCAAGTGCTACTCAACTGGTTTTAGATAAGCCAGTCCTTTATTAGTATATTAGTGCTCTGTTAGCAGTTCTTTGTTAGTAATACCATTTCCTGCATTTTGTTACCCACTTTTTAGCTAGCTAAATGTTCAGCCTCAGAGGCTTGTAGTCCATCCCATGATGGCATGTTGCCATGGCTAATTAGGGTTAGGGTTATGCGTTTTCATCAACCACAAGCACCAAAGTTCCTTTTGTAGACATTTGTCCCAAAATGTCTAGCTATTCCTTTAAGAACCACCAATACAACATTTACTGTTTCCAGTTCCCTAATTGTGAATGTTTGCTGCCATGTTTCTATTATATTCAATTGAATATCTTTGGGGTTTGGACTTGTAGTCAAACAAAACAAGGAATGTGTAGATGTACTTAATGACTAAATCATTAGTAAAAAAAGAAATGTGTCAAAGGATAGGAAAAAGTGTTCATTGCCGTGTATCATGTAGGAAATGGAGAATAAGGGAGTGGTTTTGGACACAGCCCTTGTTTCCCTGCAGCCTGTTTCTCATTAGGTCCACACAGACCAGACCTGTGGAGGTGCAGCCGCCCTGTCTCTGGCTCTCCTCAGAATCTGCCCATGTGAAAGAAAAAGAAATAAAACAAGGCTTGTACATTACCAAGATCTATTTCCATTTCGCTAAGGTCTGCTGCTGTCGTCTGCGAAGCGTAACATTTCTGACTGCGAGGCCATGTTGTTGGGGTTTCCTGACTTTGATGCATGTCCTGTCCGGTGCCACCGGCTCCCTTGACAGGTGCTCTCTTTAGAGACATGGCACTCGCCAAGTTAATGTATAGCTCCTCCAAAGTGCATTAAGATGTTAAACACACCTGGAGGTCAGGGACCTTA